TTTGCATTTCGTGGATGGCTAGTGATGTGGAGCATTTTTTCATATATTTATTCGCTTCTTTAATTTCTTCCTCTGAGAAGTGTGTGTTCATCTTGAATGCCCATTTCTGGATTGGGTCTTTAAATTTTGGTGCCCTAGTGTTTTTTAGTTCTTTATAAATTCTAGAGAGCAGACCTTTGTCTGAGTACTTATTTCTCATGATTTTTTCCAAATTTGTGGGCTGCCTTTTCACTTTGTTGGTAATTTCTTTTGAGGTTTAAAAACTTCTCAGTAAGAGCAGGTCCCAGTTCTTAATTCTTTAGCTGTTTCCCGTGCGATTTGATTTTTGTTCATGAACTCTATGCCTACCCCTATGTCTCCAAGAATTCCTCCTACTTTCTCTTCCAGATTTAGTGTCTCTGCTTTAATGTTTAGATCTTTAATCCATTTTGACTTTAGTGCATGGTGATAGACCTGGGTCAAGTTTGAGTTTTTCGGCATGTAGAGAGCACCATTTGTTAAAGAGGCTATCTTTCTTCCAGTGAGTATGTTTGGCCCCTTTGTCAAAGATAAGATGGCTGAGTGTGTTCGGAAGGGGCTTCAGCGTGTTCTAATCTATTCCACTGATCCTCAGGTCTATTTTGTTGTCTGGCTGACATTGCTCTAGAATTGTTTGTCTAGGAAACAAACATTCTTCCATAGATGGCTACCAGACATTAAAAGACAAAATTTTTATGCCTGAAATTTCTCTTTTACTTTTCTTCAGTTACACACTATTGCTGTTGTTCTTGTTGTTGTTGCGGCTGCTATTATTGTTCTTTACTCTTTTTTGTTTGCAGAGAGAGTCTCATTACCTAACCCAGGATAACCTCCAAAAAGCTATAGATACTACCAAAACAGCGTTCACTGCTGCAAAATCGTTCTAACCCTCTTATAGGATCTAAAAAACTAAGCACAGGAAGTGAGGCAGCAAGAACAGCCTTAAAGTATTGATTCTAAAATTACAGAAAGCTTTCTCAGTCTCAGTGCTATTCTCATTTTGGACTATATTATTTGTTGTTGTTGGAAGAGGAGGTCTATCCCATGCAGTATATGATATTTAACGGCACTTCTAATCTCTCGCCACTAGATGCCTATGGCACCTATCCACCTTTGTGACACCAACAATGACTCCATATATTGCCAGTTGCCTCCTAAAGGCACAAAATCAGTTGAGTTGAGAATTACTCTTTTGCAGATAGTGAGGAGCGAAAGAGAGATAAATTGTTTGCCTGGAGATCTTCTTGGTGACAGACTTCTAACTACAATGGTGGTATGTACCTTTTGTAATTTCACAAAACAATAAAAATCTCCTCTATCCTCTCCCACAAAAGTCAGGAGGACTAACATAAAGCTGCCAGCATTTTACCTACCAAGAATCTTACCCCAAACAATAATCCATTGTTAATTCTCTAAAAGATGCCTAATGATAGGAACAAAAAGTCTAGTTTTTTATTTCATACATCAGTTTTATAAATAACCCATTCTTTTGTCCCAGTTCTCTATCCTTCCACTGCAAATTGTGCCAGACCCAGCCAGTTTGGGGGACAGAGCCCTAGAGGCTACCTGAACCACATCATTACCCTATTAGGCTCAAAGCCTCCCAAAGGGATTACTGAAAACAAATCAAGGGATATGTCACTTTGGATAAGAGTAAAAAAATTGTGTTTGTTTCCTACCCTAATTGAAATTAAACGTTCCTTTCAGTTATGATTACAAACAACAAACCAGTTACAGCAGTGATGGTGAAGCTTTCAGAGCATCCTTCCCCCCTACCCTGGTACCAAAGATTGAACTCAGAACCTTATGCCTTCCAGGCAGGTGCTTATGCCACTGAACTATCTCCCCAGGCCCTAGAACTTTCAATGATAATAAACAGCCCAATATGGCACACATACCACAGGTTCACCACCACTGCCTTATGGTATCATCAGCAGTATCTGTGAGTTTATAACTCACCTAATCAAGTACTTTCAAATCACACTGCAGTCATATATATCTTAATGAACTGCTTATATTCATTACTACTCTGAAAGTATGACATTTTTGATCACTGTTCAATCTTTTATTTAATGTATTCATAAAGAAGCATGTATGTTGCTATTGCACAATTTCCTTTAAATATCTTGGTGGTTATTTTAAGTGTAACCAAATAGATACTCTTAGTTGAAGCAAAACTCTTGAAAACGCATGACATGGCTTTCATGAGAAGTCTTTCTCAACCTTGGCTCCATTAAAGAATCAGCTGAAGATCTCTCAAAAATCCCCACTAATTAAATGAGAATTTGTGGAGGTGGGCCCAGGCACTTATGTCTATTATTTTATATTTAAAGCTCTCCACATGATTGTCAAAGGCAGACAGGAAAAATGGCAGGCAGACCTGTAACTTCAGGGACTCTGAGTGCCAACTGTTACAGCTTAACTAGTGTCAGATGATTGAAACACCCTCACTATGCATCAACATCCAGCTCTTCAGTCATTCATTCAGAAAATATTCACTGAATACCTGTAACACTCTACAAGGCAGGAACTCTTAGGTTCTCTTTCCTTCCCCTTAGGCAAGCTTAGAGGCTAGTGAGGAAGGTAGACAAAAATGAATTAGGACTGTAATACACTAGTTATAAACTGTATAAAGAAATAAATGCTGGGGCTACAGAGACAGCTCTGCAGTCTAAGCACCTTCCTGGTAAGTACAAGGACTGGGTTCAGTCCGTGATACTGCATACCATGCGGCTCCAAAAACAGGCACAGTGGTGCATGCCTATAATCTCAGCACTGGAGAGGCTGAGACAGGAGGATCACTATGAGTCCTAGCTGCATAGCGTGATCCTGTACCAAATAAATAAAAAAACTAATTTTTTAAAATATCTAATTTTTAACATTTCAATATTGTCATCTCAAAACTATCAAATTTGACTTTGTAATAAAATTTGATAGCTAATGCAAGTGTTTGATTACCCAGGAGAATTTGTATATAACATGAAATAGAGTGAAAATGTACATTACTTTTGAAAAATTTCAGTGATTGCGAGAGTTTCTTGTGAATTCAAACCTTTCAAAATTTTACAGTTGATTTTAGCATTGAATTTGATGATTTTTTTTAGGATTCCATCTTTAATACCTTTATGACACTGCCTTCCAGTTCCCAGCATATGTCTTTATTTGCCAACTTTTTTAAGAAAAGGAAAATGAGATGAAGTGGAATGTGCATCTACAAGATTGTCCTGATTAAATGTTAATGTTGCTGTTAGAGCTTCTATCAACACTGCTAAGATAAAAATAACATGAAAAAATAAATTTCTAATTTGCTATGATAGTAACTCTATTCTATATTCTTTCTGTCCATGACTATAAACTTCTGACTCTATACTTTCTAGAACCAGCCTGCCATATGCTGGTTTGATCACTGATAAATTCATTTGACAGGACTTACTTTAAGGAAGA